GGACCTCCCTCAGGGTGTTCCCACTACTGTGTCCAGCCTCTGCTGGTGCTTGAGAGGACGTTCATGGGACTTCTGGCTCCACGCCTCTTCTGGAAAGCTCTGGATCCCTGTGGAGGGCTGTGGATATTCACATAGCCACCTACCAGGGTCCTGTGGTCACAGGGAAGAAGGCCTCCTGTGGACACAAGGAACCCAGGGAAGTGGACCAGGCCCCAGGCCGCCGTTTACATGGGGACCCTGCAGACTGTGCTGAGGAACCCCGACCCTCTTCCAGGACCTGGTTGGGACTGAGGTGGGAGTAGGCAAGGCCCACCAGGCCCTTTTGGTGCTATGGACTGCCGCAGCCAGCCGACTGTTTACCTACAAACGTAGTCCAGTCCAGCCCGTATTTATGTAAAGCTATTTATGGGCAGTTGCACTTGCTGATATGGTCCTGGGTCAGCTAGAAGCTGCCCGATCCCAGAAACTCGGACTCAGGCCGGTGGGCTGTGGAGTCTCTAGCAAGTGGGATCAAGGGTTTTGTAAAACCCAGTGAGTTAAAGGCACAGTGGTGTCATCGTGGCCTGGGTTTCTGTGCTTTTCATAGAGTCTTTTTTGGTCCTTCCAAGAGCAGCTATCACGAGGGCTCTCAGAGTGGACCTCCCCCAACCAGGGAGGCTCAGGTGGGCTCTGTAGCCCTCTCTAGTGACAGAGGTGCCTCAACCGTCCCATTGGGATTCTTCCTGGCCTCTGGGGCCATGAAGAGGGCCGAGATGAATTGTGCTAGAGAAGCACTGGTGCCTAAGACTCCTCCAGAGACCTAGGAGGAGGGATGTGCCAGAAGGGGCAGGGCAGGGCTGGTGTGGAAGGCTTGCCCCAAGCAGACGACCCTTCCTCAACATGAAGGTCAGGCAGCATCACAGGAGCCAGGGCTCCCTGTGGAGCTGATGCCCAGTAGAGAGCGTAGCCCAGAGCAGGGCTGCAGGGAGGCTGAGAACAGCAGAAACGGGGCGAGGGATGGACTTAGACCTGAGACTCTGCTCCCACATTGTACCCCAAGAAGCCCCTGTTTTGGATCTGGGTAGTGGCTGCCTCCTTCTCCCATAGCAGCTGAGGCAGCTGAAACCTTCAGGGACACCACAAGGGCTCCCATGGGATGGTCAGCAGCAGGAGCCAAGCCCGCAGGCCACTGTACAAAGACTTATGTAAAGGAAGAACAGTGAGTGGGGAAGAGCTTTGTGTGAATGTGAAGCAGGCAGTACGGAAATGGAGGAGGAATTCTAAAGTGCCCAGATAGAAAAAGGATTAAGAATCAGACTGGCCAGAAACCCTACAAGGGACAGCTAGGAAATGGTGCTGTTCTATCACTGGTACTGAAAAAATTAGCTGGATTTTATATCCAGCTAAACTATACCATGACCACATTCACCGGTGTCTAATTTGGCACTAGCCCCGGGGGAACACACAGCACATTAAGTGCAATGCCATCAATGAAGAGAATTGACCTCTGGCCTTCTAACCCAGAGGTCAACCCCAGAGTGGTTCACCATGGGGGCGGCGCAAGGGAATTTAGAAAGGGCATCACTGGTCCTGTGAGTGACAGGCAGAGAGGGAGAGCTGCAGCCAGCATGGGCAGGTGATGGAGTGGTCCACTAAGGGGTAGGAAGGGAGAGAAATAGGGAAGGAAAGAGTAGGCTAACAGGGCCTAGGTAAACAAGAGGTGCAGACCACACTAACAGTCTTATGTTTGTGGCTGGCACGGTGGCTCAGTGGGTTAAGGCCCTCGCTGCCAAGCCTGACGACCTGAGTGTGTTTCCTGTGTGGTGGAAGATTAGTGACCTCTGCAGGTTCTCCTCTGACCTCCACCTATATACCCCCCAATAAATAATGTAATTAAAAAAGTTTTAAAAGTCAGTCATAGGATGTAGCCTGTAAGACCCAGCTGAAAGGTAGAAATACAACCATAGGCAGAAGAGCTGAGGAAAGTTAAAACAACAAACTTTCAGAGGCCTATTTTCAGCTGTGAGTGAGGCTGCCTGTGGGGGCCCGAGGCAGGTGTGCAGTGCCTGGTGCGCGATGTGCGGATTGAATGCAGGCCCTCTGCAAACGCACCATGGCTCTTAACCACTGAGCCATCCCTTCAGCCGCTGGGGAAGGAGTTGTGAGGTGCAAAGCATATGGGCGTCTGTAAACGCACACGCCCGTACACATCGACACGGTAGATGCTCAGAAATCCATAGAGCACTGGTGGCTATCACAGGGAGCGAAAAACGCACTGTGATGTGATGTAACACGCTCTATAGAAACCTATAGATTAGGCAAACGGAAAAGCAATGATCAAATCTGCTGGCTGGCTGGCTGGCTGACCGATTGGGACAGACCATACTGTGTAGCCCTGGCTAGTCTGCAGTTTGCTGTGTAAACCAGGCTGACCTGGACTCAGATGCCATCTTGTCTGTTTCCCAAGTGTTGGGATTACAGGCCTGCACCGCCATGCCTCAATAGACTGACACATTTTAAAACATGAAGTGAGAAGAGTAGGGAAGCAGCAGCTGCAGACAGAGCAGAAACGGGCAGCCAGGTGCTAACACCTCTACAGCAGAACTGTGGAGACATCTTGGAGAAAGAAAAAGGATAGGAACTGGCCTAAGTAGAGACTGAAGGAACTTGGGGCGGGCAAGACTGCTCAGTGGGCAAAGGTGCCTGATAACCTGAGTTTGAGCCCAGGACCCACAAGGAGGAAAGGTTAGGCACTTAAGAGATGGCTCAGGAGCAGAGGCAGGAGGATCACTGTGAGTTCAAGATCAGCCTGGGCTACAAAGTGAGTCCAGGACAGCCCAGGCTACACGGAGGAGCCCTGTCTGGAAATAAGAGCACTTGCTGCTCTTGCAGACTCCAGGGTTCAGTTCCCAGCACCCACATGATGAAGCACAACCCTCTGTAGCTCCGGTTCCAGACTCTGACACCCTCTCCTGGCCTCACTTATGGTATTAGGCATGAAGACAAAACCCTCTCCTTCACATAAAATAAAAAGACACCCCCTCACACACACAGGGTTTCTCTGTGTAGTCCAGGCTATCCTAGACTCACTTTGTAGGCCAGGCTTGGCCTTGAACTCAGAGATCCACCTGCCTCTGCCTCCAAAGTGTGGGGACTAAAGGCGTGCACCACCATGCCTGGCTTAAATCCTTTCCTAAAAAGGAAAATAGAAGACAGTGGGACATTTGTGTCCTGACCAAAGGAATAACCTCTGGACTGAACTAGATTTGACCTTAGCCTGTAGTCAGGGGTCCAGCAAGGGACAGGTAGTGGCTGGTGCCATTGGACAAGCAGAGATGAAAATCTGGGCAACGATGGTCCATACACTGACTGGTAAGGATATGGGAGGGGTCCTGGCCGTGGCTTCACTTTCTTGGGGTCAGAGCTAGAGGCAGAAAAGCTGGGGTCCCAGGGCATAGTCCCCATGTTAACGCCTCTTAGCCAGCAGGGGGCCTGAGGGGACAATGCACTACCACCCTTTTGGCCGGTTGTGGTAGGAGTTAGGCAGCCTGGCACAGAGTCAGGAATGTTCTGGAAGAACTAGAAATGAGCCTGATGGGCAGGGAAGACAGCAATCCCAAGGCTGAGGATGACGCTGTGTGCACACTTTTTGGCTGGACTTCCATCTCCAAGCTTCAGATGCCTCTTCCTGTCTCCACAAGAAAGCTAGGGTGTGTGCCCACCAGGCCCTAGCCTGGTCTACTCTGCTCATATGGGGCTGGGCACAGAGGTTTGCCCCACAGATCAGCAGCTGCTGAAGCATCTATGATGGGCAATGCCACTGCAGGTGGCTCAGGACACCGGGGACATTCGGATCCGGTCCCGTTTAACCCCAGCCAGGGCACAGACCTCCCTGGAGACAGCTCCTGTAAGCAACTGGCCCAACATGGGCAGAGGACCTTTGGACTTTAGTTACCCTATCTCCCAGGAGGGCACAGTGATTCCCCCAGCTGAGTGGGTGGGCGGGGTATCCCATATGACCCCTGTAATTGGAGAGGAGGGCAGAAATGTGTCACCAGGATGCTAACTCAGAGGGCGCTGGCTCTGTCCCTGGAGCCCCCACCCCACTGGCAACCTAGGCCTATGCTTTTGTCACTGGGGGAGGTTTCCTGTCCCGGGTCTATTCCAGATGTTGCTCGCTCTCTACTGGCCTTGTCCATCCTCCCCCAGGTGCTGCACTGTTCTTGTCCTTTGTCTTCATCACTTAGCCAAGACTAAGAATGGGGTCACCTGCTCCAGGTGTCTATAGTGACAACGGGTCCAAGGTCGGGGCCCACAGCCTTCCAGTCCCCTCACTCCACCTGCTGAATGCACGTGGTGATAGCAGCTGCTCCGCAGGAATCAGTGGGAGGAACACACCGGAGGCCACGGGGAGTGGGTCCACACCAAGGTCCCCGTGCTTCTGCACAGCACACACCAGTGTACACACAGCACCCAAGCATGTACTCACCACCCCACGGCCACCAGCATGCTGTCCCCCTCACACACACACTGCGGTGGGGAACATGGAGGTACTCACCTCTCAGGCTGAAGGAGGTACGGAGCCCCGCCTCAGGCAACCCAGTCGCACCTACTCCCTGAACTCTTGGCCTGGCCCTCCCTTCCAAGCAGCCACTCATGTGTGGGTGAAGGCTCAGCCTGGTGAGGACTGGTGTCAGGCTGAGCCTGGACTTGGCTGCCTTGGGCCATGGAGGCCATGGGGAAGAGCTGGCCCTAGCCTGTCCTGAGGCAGAGCTGTTCCCCAGGCCAGAGGGACTCTGCAGCTGATCTGTTGCTTCTGCAGCCAGGCTGAGCCCAGTGGGAAGGGGAGGATTCTATGGTACAAGGTCCTGCTGTTGCCATCCCTGACCACACAAGCAGAGCCTTGCTGTGACCCCCTGGCTCCCTGGTGACCGATGGAGGCTGGTTTCCACCCACCTGTCATACCTCGGGATTTCACTGAGCCAAGTGGCTATGGCGTAAGCTCAGATGTAAACCCAGGTTTTAAAGAAATACTTTAATGTTACTGAAATCCCTGCTGGCTCCTCCAGTCACCTTCTACCAGAACATGGGAAGGAGGGGTGCATCTGGGAGGTGGTGCTATGTAGTCTTCAATGAAGGCAGCAGCCCTGCTTTACATGCTATTAGGCTGAGGCCTTGGGGCCAGAGAGAGGCCAGGCTGAGCTCCTCCTAGAATGCGGGTCCCTGGAGCAGTGGAATCTAGAGACATTCAGTGCGCTGCCTTCAGCCATGAGGCCGTGGGAAGGCCCAGGCATGGAGCGGCGTCCTGGGACAAACCCCTTCATTCCTTGGAGGCAGGCAGGACCACTTGCTGGTCGGAGGACTGAGGCTGTGTCCGCCATGGCTTGGCCGCTGCGCTGTCCGGCTACACATCTGTCTCCACCCGTAGGCGCTCCATCCTGCGCACATTGCCTTCTACGGCCACACGGCTGGTGATGGAGTGGGCAAAGCTCTCGGGAAACCAGCCTGTCTCCCCATCGCGAAGCCTCTCGCCATGGAGCCAGCCTGCATGCAGATGAGAGGGGCTCTGTCCTCTCCACCTCTGCTCTTGAGGGTTCTAGAGCATGGGTGACTAACCGCCATTCCTGGAGGAGGGGGGAGGGAGAGAGCCAGCCAAGGAGGCCTTGCTCAAGGCAACGTGGGCTCCCGGCCTCCCAGGAGTCCATCACTGAGCGGTAAGGGGCTGCTCCCACCACACCAGTGTGACCTTATGCTGGGACCACTGCGTGGGGAGCACCCATTTGCTTCACTCAGGGCCCTGAGTGATGAACTCACTCTACCCCATGATTCCAGTACCTACAGTCCTCCCTTTGAGGAAACTCTTAGGGGGCCAAGGCGGGCTGAGCCTGTGCTGGTTGCTGCAGCCCAGCCGGGCTGGCACCCACTCAGGCCCCTGCCCACCCACACTCACCATCCTCCTCTTGCAGGACCAAGACAACGTCAGCCTGCTGAAGTGTGATCTCATCAGCCTGCTTGGCAAAGTATGCCTTGGTGACCTCCACCTGGGGCAGTTCTGGGGGCAAAGAGGGAGAGCTAGGCCAAGAGGGCGCCCGGGCAGCATTCTCTCCCACACATGCCTGACACCAGCTGTCCCTGGGAAGCCTGGCCTTCTAGGGGTGCAGGACAGACAACTGCAGACAGACTTCTCCCGAGACCATTCAGGGCCAAAGTGACAGTGGCGGCCCAGCCTGTTCTGTTCCCAGGACAGCAGGCCTCTTAAGGATCAATCCGTTTAAGCTGAGGCTACGTGGATACAGGCACAAGCACATACAGCAGGCCAAGGTCCAGCTGCCAAGTGAGGTGCCCCTCGGAGGCCGTGGTGTGGTGTAAGATCCAGACAAAACCAGCTGGAGCCCAGTATGACCCTGTAACCCCCCCCACACACACACACACATACATATACTCACCTCCTTTGTTGGCAAGGCCGTGCCACTGTCTCTCCTTGTAGGTGAGCGCTGTGATCCAGCGGGCCCGGTCACTCCTGTGGGCCACAGGGCGTATAGCTGAGGCCCTGCTTCCCTCTTTACGGTCCATGAACCCCTGTTCTATGTTTGCTGACTGCTGCCCTGCCCTGCCATCCTGAGGTTCGCTGTCCTTCAGCCCCTGACTTTGACCTTGTTGCCCGATACGAGGATTCTGCCTCAGGACCTTTGCACAGCTGAGCTGACTGAGCACCCATCCCCGTGTTTGTTGCCTCACTCCCTCCCTCCCTTGGGGTTTTGACCTAAACGCCACCTGACAGTGGTGAAACTCCCATCACTCCCATCCACACCCATCCCTTCTTCTCCTTGGCGCTCCCTCCCTGGCTATGGGGCACTACAGCCATTCATCTGGTGTGCCTGCAGGCTGTTTGCTCGTGTCCCTGCCTGGCACTGACTCGCAGGCTCTCAAACAGCTCGGCACATCCTTCCTCACGGGGCTCCTGCTTGCACAGTGCCCCTCCACAGCGGCCCACATCTTACGATGAGTCAGAGGACAGCAGTATCTGCTCCTGGCGGCCCTCACTGTTGCGGAGCAGGGTCACTTGGAAGGGGTGGGGCACGGAGGAGCTGCGGCTGCTGCCTCCTGGCAGCGAGGACTCCGAGGGCTCCAGCTTCTTGACCTGCACGTGGTCTAGCTGGGCGTAGTCTTGGACCAGGTAGCTTTCCTCACTGTGGGGACACAGAATCGTCAGGCCTCTCCTGCCATGGTCAACTGGCCACAAGAGAGCTCCTCAGACTAGTCCTCTGGGTCTGGAGACAGAGCTTCCAGGAGCTTCCGTGGCCACGGAGGGAAACCCCGGCCTGCATCGAGCTGAGACCCAATTCTATAGAGGCGTGGGTCACCCTGATCAGTGAAGTGATGCCAAGGGAGGTGAATGCAGCACTGAATGCCAAGGTCGGCGGGGTCAGGTTCACCCCCTCACCAAGCTGCTCTCTAGCCTGGCACCAGCAGCCCAGTGCCCACCTCTTCTTCTTGGTGACAACCAGGACATCACTGAACAGGAACAGGTAGCATGTGGGCCGGCTGGCAATCTTCCTAAAGATGCTGGATTCCTCCAAGAGGAAGAGCTCTCCACGCTTCAGCAGCCAGCGAGAGGAGGAGGTGAGTGGGAGGGACTGGGGACAGAGAGGACAGATGGACGAGCTGACCCACAGTAAAGGGGGTGGTAGGGACAGTCCCTGCCTCCCTGAGCATGCCGGGCAGTCAGGACCGCATGGAGAACGCCTGAGCCTTATGGAACGGCCAGTCGGCCCACAGGCCCATGACAGGCCTGTGGGCCCTACCTGCAGGACAGCCTCTGCCAGCCCTGATTTTTCTGGGTGCTTGTGGAATGTTCTGCGTAAGTTGGGTAGGGGATAGTCTTGGAGTGGCCTTGACATTTCCGTTTCCGTGTGGGAAACCGAGGCCTGGGGAGACCAACAGGCCTAGCCATCCCTCCCAGGCAGGTGTCCCCAGAGGCCACTTGCTCCAGCCTGTGACCCCAGAGTAAGGGCTTGGGGGGGCACAGCGCCTACCTTGACCTTACTGAAGTCCAGCTGCATGTGCAGTGTGTACATCTGCTCTGTGCGCTCCATTTTGTGGGCCCCCTCATTGCACTGCTTCACCAGCTGCGGAGTTGTTTACAGGAATACCACAGGCATGACTCTGGATGTTCCACTCCAGGTGACAATGGCCTGGATCCCGCCCCTGTTCCCATCAGTACCACCCACCGGCACCCCACCCGGGGTCCCTCCTGTCAAATGGGCTGGGGCAGAAGCCGCCTCACCTTGCTGATGGCCTTCAGGGCACGGCTGGCAGCTTTATGCCGTTCAGGATGGCCCTGCGTCTTCAGGCAGAGTGTCTGCGGGACAGAGCAGCTGGGAAGCATGGGAGCCCCTCCGGGCCCCGGCATGGGGCAGATTTGGAAAGTGTGAGGGGGCCCACCGGTGTGTCTACAGACCACAAACGGCAGGTGGAAAGGAGAGGTGCTGTTTTTGCCAGGCCGAGGGTGAGTGTGCCTAAACGTAGGTCTACAGGCTACAGTATCAGGTTACAGACCGCAAAGTGGTCAAGATTAATCACACCGTCTTCTGCGCACTGCAATTATCCCAATTACAGATGTATGAGGTGAAGAAAGAGGTCCGAGAGTAACACTGAAGGCAGGCCTCCAGGGGTTCCCATGGCAACGGCCACACCCGAGCCCCAAGGACACTCACATCTGTCAGGAGTGGCAGCCTGGTCACCCTCTGCATGGGGAGAATCAGGAAGGAGATCATGGGCAGGCCCCCACATGCGGGCCGTTTCTCGATGTCCCTCAGCACCTCCCGGAAGGCTGTGTTGCTACTCCTGCCAACAGGGACACTCCGTCACCTTGGCTTTGGGAAGCGGCTGGGCAGGGGGGACTGTGTGGGGTGGGCTGGGAGCTCGAAGCCACACTCACGACAGCTTCTGAAGGGTGCGCTGCTGGTAGACCTCGTTAGAGCAGTAGGCCACGTAAGGGAGGAAGTGGTTCTCAGCATGGTCCTCCAAGATGTCGCTGATGTCCTCCACACACACCTGTGCCTTGTGCCGCTGCTCCAGGGCCTCAAAGAACCTGCAGCATTGGAGTGGGGCGTGGTTGGGGAAGAGAAGGCTCGGTTCCAGGGGGTGTGTGCACACACCTCCACAGACACGTGATACAGACGAAAACACTCACACAGGTGGCTCTTGCAGCTACCCAATGGGTCGGGCAGAACCTGTGTAGGCTGGGCTACATTTCCGTGCAAGGCTTCACAGACTATCCACGTTCATGGAGTTGGGGGTGGGGAACAGTTGTGGAGGTGCCTTGACTGCACTCCATTTTGTGGGGCCTCACTGCACTGCTTCAGCTGCGGGGCTGGGTCTCCATGTGTACCTCAGGCTGTCTGGGGCCCGGTGACAGATCCACTCCACACCGCCACTGTGACACCCGCCCCATGTCTGTCTCTGGGTGTGAGCTCAAGGACAGAGATGCAGCAGCTCTCTGATGCACAGGAGGGCCCCAAGGGACCAGGGACAGCCACCTCTCTCTAGGGTCTTCAAACTGAGGTGATTCTGCCAGCCAAGCTCCTTGCAAGCATGGGAGTTTAGCCCATACAGGACAAGTGGGGAGGCCTCGGTCCTTGACAGCCTCTGACCTTCAGTGACCCAGGCAGGATGATGACAAACTGAGCAAATGCCGTCAGGGATTGGCCCAGGGTTCTCCACGCCTTGGCCACCGGCTGTGTGGGGCCAGTGGCCACCTCTCTAGGCCCTACCTCAGGCGGCTGGGAGGAGAGCCTTCCCAGCTTGGATGTAGGCATGGGATGGGCCCTTGGCCCCTGACAGACCCTCTGCCCACAGTGGCCTCATTTCCTATAAGCAAGCACATTCTGAGAGCCACTGGCACTTGGGAAGCCATCTAACTGGCAGAGAAGCTCAGAAGCACATGGCCCCATGGATGAGCTGAAGCCGCCCTCAGGTGGCCTGAGGATGTAGGCCCACCAGGCAGGCCAGGCCACTCTGTGTAATTCCTAGGGTTTCCTGGAAAGGTCTAGGAGGCCCAGCTTCCCCCTAGTGGCCCCAAATAGTACCAGTTCTCAGAGGAGACCACTGTGAATGGCTAGGGAGGAGGCTAGAGAGCCCCACCCAGGACAGCAACGGCCATGCTGGGCGACTGGAGGCTGCACAGCACCGTGGGACCACACTGGGGGCAGGAGTCTGCCTGAATGAGAGGTCACTTCCCAGGACACCCCCCACCTCCGAGGAGCCAGGAGTGGGTAGTTCCCACAGCCAGCCACCGAATCTCTTACAGGAAGGCCCTGTCTGCAGGGATACGGCAGTCAGTCCTGTTCTCTGTCTACATCACTCTGAAACTTGCTGAGGGGTCACCCAAAACAGCAGCCTCTCAGTGCGCTCTGTGAGGGCCAGGCTCATCCTGACAAGCAGAACCAGCATCCTGTTTGGAGGGCCCAGACTGGCAGCTAGCCCTTACTCTTCTTTGACCCCACTGAGGCCCAGGAGAAGGCACCAGCCTCATTAAATAGTGAAACCAAGGCTAAAGGGACAGGGAGTCTCAGGGTCTCCTGGATCAAACTGCAGCAGTAGCAAGGGCTGACCCCACACACATGACTGGGGCCAACGATGTATGCACTATACAGGCATGAGCAAACGCAGGACGGCAATATGCCTAGTGCTGGGGTGAGATGCCCCTGGGCAGCACGCAAGGATACACAAAGGCATGCACAAAGCACACGCAGGCACTCGTCCACACACCCACACAGACACATGCCGCTGCACACCTGGCACCTCCTCTGAACCTCTGCAACTCGAGGCTGCCAGAGGGCTGGGTGAGCACACTGTGGGCACTGCTGATGCCCAGGACTGAGGCGAGACGGCCATTGGTAGTATAGGGCTGGACACAAGAGAAGCACTTTCCCTTTCCTGAGAGTCTGGGGTGCCCCCTGCCATGGTATCCCCACCACCAGCTCTCAAGGGCTCTTACAGGTTGTTATGGTCTATCTCAAGCCAGTGGCTGCTCCAAGCTTCCTCCACAGATGCAACTCAGGGCCCACCCAGAGCTTTCTGAGATCGCCAGTGAGGACTTCCTGGAGGTAAGGTGAAGTGGAATCCTTGGGGCTCAGGGGGACATAGGTGTGGAAGGACAGGGCGCTCACTTCTGACTGGCCGCCAGCACGTCCAAGATGTTGGAGAAGAGGTGATGGTGCTCTGTCTGTGTCATGGTGGCCTTCAGCTCCTGGGACTGCAGGAACTCTGTCACCAGGATGTTTAGGCTGTGCAGATAGGAGAACTCAGACGTGAGGATCTCGAAGATGGCCTGCATGAGAAAATGGTGCTCAGGATGACAGAACATGTCCGGGAGGGAGGGAGGGATCCATCACAGGGCTGTCATGGCCACCACACAGCTGAGTCCACAGCCCCACATGGCTGGCTCATCAGCTCAAGCTGCCCGAAGGTGGCCAGAACTTTGTTTTCAGGAGACTATGGAGCACAGGGTCACACCTGGCAGCAAACACTCTACTACTGAGCCATGTTCCTCGTCTCTGGCCAGGACTCTGGTCCCTGCCTGAGGAGGCGAAGGCGGGCCCCTCCCTGACACTGCTTGAGGGGCTCAGTCTTTAGCCATCACTGCACCTGGCCCATGAGGTGGCCAGTAGGGCAGGGGAGGGGAAGGCATCACTGTGGCTTCTGTTCTAACTCCCAGCGTACCGTGTGGGACAGTTTGGGCTGTAGCCAGCTCAGCACATCCCGTCCTTACCTCCTGTCTCTTGCGTTCCTCCATCGACAGTGAGTCCAGGACACCTGACTCCAGCACCTGGGGAGAGTGCAGCCCACAGAGCTATGGGTCTCAGGCCCCACAGACAGAGCCAGGCCCTCACTTCCATCCCCCGGATCAGTACAGAGCAGCCTGGAGGAGGCAGAAGCCTCGGCAGAGCCGCCATCATCGGAAGACTTCAGCTGTCATGTCTCCTCAGCTTATCTTCCTCTCCATGGAAACCTCCCGGGATGATGCTACTCCATCTCTAGAGCCCTGGACAAGGCCAGGAAGATGGACAGGGAGTCCAGAGGAAGTGTGTGTGTGTGTGTGTGTGTGTGTGTGTGTGTGTGTGTGTGTGTCAGAGAGAGAGAGAGTTAGTCAGACAACACTTGGCAGCTGAGTCAGTCCTACCAGGAAAGGCACAGGCTCTTATCACCTGCACTCTTCACCCCTTTGGGAGCCCAGGCTGCCTTAGTGTGGCTCCCCACACCTGTTGCTACAGAACGTGTCAGAGCAGGCTGGGCTGCCACGATGCTTGGCCTTGGTGTGTGCCCTCCTACCCACAGCTGGGCAGCACTGTCAACAGTGCCCGGGCCCCTGCAGCTTTCCAAGCTGGGCTAGGCCAGGCCCTAAATACCGGGCAATGTGATGGGGTGCAGGGTGCGGGCCCCATCCCAGATGGGGGGAATCACCTCCCCCCAGCTGCTAGCATTCAGCAGGATAATAAATGTGTACTTCTGGACATCGCTACTTGTGAAGCGGAGCCTGCCTGGCTGCAGCCCTTGGCTGGACCCTCCCCGGCTGGGGTCCTACTGTAGACACTCTCACAGGGGGACCTCTCACCCCCCACAGGAAGCAAGCGAGAAGCTCCACTGTACTGAAATAGAGGAAAGGGTGGCGTACCATCCTCACGGCCTGCCACACCCAAGAGCGCAGGGTCACATGCCTCTAACAGCAGCCAGCCCTGTCCCTCATGCTGAGTCCCCCATGCACTGGATCCACCGTCCTACTGTGCTTTTGACTGAGCCCTCATGTCCTGGACAGGATCCCATTTTCAGACGTGGGAAGTGTGGGCAGAGTGGGACGCTGCTCTCCTCTATCTGCTTCTTTGTGGCCCTTTCCTGCCCTAATGAGATGAGGGTCCTAGGAAAGGGCTCCTGGCACTCACAATGCCCTTTTGGGTCACAGAGCAGGGCTCCAATCACAGGAAGACAGACTCTCTTACTGCCCATTCCAGTGATGTCCCCAAGCAGCCCAGCTAGCCCCACAGGCAAACTGTATCCCAGTGGCCCGGGAAACTGTGTGAACTCCCTGTAGGGGCCTACACCACCACAGCTGGGGAAGGGAAGGCCATGGGGTCTCCCTGGGTCCCCTTAGGCATTCAGGATGGTGTGGGACTCTTACCTCTGGGAGCTGGCTCCAGGTGAGCTGGGCGGGTCGGTAGCTCTTGACCACAATGGTGGTGTCCGCTCTCTGAGGACCCCCTGGGCTGGAGGGCTCATCCAGGATGTCATCATCAGACTCATGACTGGTGTTCAGACCCCGCTCCCGGATCTCCTGGTATAACTGGGGGTCTGGGGGAGGAGAGCCACTGGTCTGCAGGAGGGTTTGGCAGTGGCCTGGCCTTCCCAATGGCCCCACAAAGCTCTCAAAAACACGCAGGCTCTGCTGTGCCCCGCTGCGTCCTACAGCGTTGGGAGGGCTGCCTGGGAGATGGTAGCAGCCCGTGCAGAATGTGGCACTGCAGGTCAGGCCAAGCGGGCCAAGAGGAGCCGTGTGTGGCCAGCTGTGCTCTGTCTGGGTGAGGGGGGCTGGGTACTCAGGTGGGGCCTGGCCTGGCCTGGGCCAACCCAGTCGAGGGCATCTGTGGGCCCATGAAGCTGCTACCATCAGCCTGCATCTGAGACCCGGATCAGTGCTGTTGCTCCGCACAGGGCGTCTCCCAGAGAATTCGAAGGGGCTTGGATCCTGTGTTTTGGCCTGTGGCCACCCACAGAGCTGACGTGGCCAGGAGGGAGGACATTCTTATTGGAGACACCGTGTCTTGGAACTTATAAACTTCTAAGCCTCAGTGGGACCAAGCAGACAGAACACTGGCTACTACTTTCTCATGCACTGTGGTACCCAGCAGGCTCTCTTCACACCAGGGAGAGTCCACGCAGAGAGCAGAGGTGAGCATCTGCCTCTCTGGGGGCCTGATGTCTTTATGATCCAACCTGGGTCCCACAGGATGTTCAAGATAATGTGGGGTTGGTCTGTCCCCTGTCCTTGGGTCACAGAGTTGGGAGTCCAAGGGAATTCTAAGCCACACAGTCACACAGACTGGGATCTGTGCTGTGTCCTGCCCAGGCTGATCTTATTATGTCAGGCCGCACAGTATCCAGGCTGGCCCTACTGAGACCCCTTCCTGACCACGCTCAGCCCTCAGCTTCCCCGGAGCCACTCACCATCCTTGAAGGAGCCCTTGTGCGCACGCTTCCGCCCCAGAGTTTTCTACAGACAAGAAACAGAAACCCCAGCAGTCAGTGGAGAGGGAGGTATGGGTCGGCTTCCTCTCTGTTGCTAAGGCAGCCCAGAGATTGTAAAGAGATGCCTGATGGGAGGGGGCTTTGCTGACTCCAGGATGCTCATCAAGTGCTAGCCTCACACAGTAGAGACCAGGAAAGGTAAAAGTTGGGGCTCAGGGCAGGGGCCTGCTCCAGCCTTGGAAGGCTGCCTAGGGGACCCAGTTAAGAGGTGTTACCTAGACAGTGGGGCATGGTGGGAATGAAGAGGGGGTCTGGAGAAGAGCCAAGGTGGGCAGGATGCCGCTGGTTAGTCTGGCCCTGGCACTGGTTGGGGAGGGAACTGCAGAAACCAAGGGCAGAACTCTGGGGGTCCCCAGTCTGCACTGGCATGTCCACACTGTCCCACTCCTCGGCCAGAACACCAGGTTTTCTCAGGGATGCCGGTTCCAGGAAAGTAAAGGCTGGTTGCTTCCGGTTCCTTAGAACCAGCTGGGGCCTGAAAACTCCCCTTACAGGTTGGGAAAGGTGGCCATCCAGCTGGCCTAGGTCCTTTTCACCTACCCTAACTCCCTCACCTCTTCCATTCCAAATCCTTCCCCAGGCTCTACTTTCGGCTCCCTGGCCCTGAGACCATGGGTCCCCTCACCAAGGAGGCTCTTAGTGCCTCCTGCACCTTAACCTACCAGCCCTCGATGCCCCCTCAGTACCCTCTCTGCCCCGGGGCAGTCACAGCTTGGTGCCCCGCATGACACATGCAACAGGAACTCAGGAATGTGTGCTCAGGATGGCACTCACTGCGGAGTTGAGGAATGAGTGAGTGAGACCTTGGCAGCCCTGCTTCTGGGGGAGTGCTGGCACGGATGCAGCTCCTGAGGCCCAGGCACCTCAGGTAGATGTGGCATGGAAACTGTGATGAAGGACAGTGGCTGGCACTGTAAGCACGGAGGCATGGCCTTAGCCACCACTGGCCTGCACGGAAGCTTGCGGTGCCCATACTGCGTGCTGGGGGCTACCATTTTGACAGGTGTCTGCTTCTCCCAAAGCCAAACTGTGGTTCAGGGTCTAGGGAGCCAATGCCCAAGCAAAACATGTTCTTCCCATGATACTGTGTACAGCTCTATGCATGCTCATCCCATGACGCTGCATACAGCCCTAGGCATGTTCTTCCCATGACTCTGTGCACAGCTCATCCCATAAAGCTGCATACAGCTCTAGGAATGCTTTTCCCATGAGGCTGTATACAGCTCTAGGTATGTTCTTCCCATGACGCTGTGTATAGCTCTTCCCATGATGCTGCATACAGTCTAGGCATGTTTTTCCCATGATGCTTTGTACAGCTCTAGACATGCTCTTCCTGTGATGCTGCATACAGCTCTATGCATGCTCTTCCCATGATGCTGTATGCATCTCTAGACGTGCTCTTCCCATGACACTGTATCAGCTCTAGACATGCTCTTCCCATGACACTGTGTCAGCTCTAGGCAACACAGGGCATATATTCATCTCTGGAGTATGCTACAGCTGGATGGTGGCCATCTCTTATATGGGGAAAGTGAAGCTCAGAAGTGCCAGGAATCTGTGAGCAGCGACAAAGCTACAAAGGCCCATCCCAGGCCCTCTTGGAAGATGGCCGAGCCCTGTGCCTGGGGTGCCCCTAAGCAAATCCGAGAAGCACCTGGCAGAGGCCCAGAAGGCCCCAGCCCTATATCCTGGGAAGCAGCTGTCATGAATGGCTGTGAAACACAGATTCCCCATGTGGCCCAGACACAGGATGGAGGGTGGAAGGAGAGGCCACTACCTGATCATGGCCTTCCTGCTGTGGCTGTCCACAACAGACACCTGGAGACTCACAGAGCTAGGACACCAGTCTGCTCTTCTGATCAGCTGGGGCTACACCCAGCCCCTCCCCCCAGGGCAGGCAGGAGATCAGGGCAGGGGGACAGGTGGTAGGTAAGGGCTACCCACTGTCCCTCCTTGTCCCACTGGCAGCCTGAGCCTGTCACTGCTGGAGTGTCATCAGAGAGACTGGCTCCATGCTTTGGCTCAAGAGTGTCTGCTTCCCTGTGCTGTCTACTCTGGGTGGAAGTAGGGATGGAGAAGAGCCCCTACTTCCTGGGCCTGATCCAACCTCTTCCAGCCACAGCCATGAGATGTGGATAGATTCAACTAAAGTAGGATGGCCAGGAGCCTGCACTTAGCTCAGTGACAGCAGCCAGGCTTGATACAGACGAGGGAGACACGGGACCAGGCGGGCTCCCTGCCTGTGAACTCTTGAGCCTCTAGCAACACTGCTGTCACAGCAGGCCCCTACCTTGTTTTTGGCTGGGCACCGGGCAGGAGGCTGAGCGGTCTCCTCAGCGAGGGCCTGGAGCCTGGGACCGAGCTGGACTGGGTCCCCCTTGCTGCCAGTTGACTCCAGGCTTTTCATGGCCGCCCTGTAGGACTGGGTCCTCAGGTTTCTCTTCAGATTTGCACCAGTGTCCACATCTATGTCATCCAAGGAGAAGCTGGGGGCTGTGAGGAGCCGGGGATCCCGCCTCGCGGCCTCCTTGCTGAGCACGGCTGCCCCAAAGCTCTGGTGGCGGGCCGGTGTGTTCTTGGCCTTGCTGGCCACGGCCAGACTCTTAGGGATGAGCTGCTGGGTGCCCATCTTGAGGGCTGCGGGGCTCTGTGTGCTGAGGACGATGGAATGTGGCTCCTCATCTCCTGGAGGCAGCTGTAGGGGTTCTGAGGCTTCGGGCTCAAAGGCAGCATTGGTTCTGGCTCTCAAGGAGCTCCGGACCATGGGCAGCCCTGGCACAGGGTTCCCATTGGCGTCGAGCCGCAGCTCGGCATGGAAGCGATATTCCAGTAGTTTCTCATCCAAAGAGCTGTCAGAATGTCTCTGGGACATGCTGGGGGTGCAGAGGAGGCCTAGAGAGAAGCAAGAGGTGAGAGGCTCAGAAGGGCTGCCTGTATATAGCCTCCCTGCTGTCCAGTTATTGCCTAACAGCTCCCTGGCAATGACAAGGGCAGCAGGGCTGGCTGTGGCTGGTCACCAGGACCCTCACCTGGGAAGCTGGCGTCTGGGCTTATCTCAGGATGGAGGCTCTGTGCCTCAGGCAGGCAGCTATTCTGAGATGAGGGGCCTGGTGGGAACAGTCTATGGCTGGACTGTGCCTCAGGGACTACCCTGATTCCTCTGACCCAACTACTAGGTCCTGGACAGGGTGCAGATAAGGGCAGGTCTGTGGCTGGGCCCAGAGGCCAGGACTAGATACTGCGTGTGGTTTTCATGGGAACAATTATGGTTTCTAAAGACTGCAGCAGATGCTATAGCAGTGAGGCCCTGCCTGGCTCTGCATTCTTGCTAAGGGGATGGGCTACCCAGAGGCCCAGGGACCTCCTGGGGACATGCCTCAAATGTCGGACCCTGACAACATGATAAGGAGCAAGCAGGATGGAGGGTGGAAGGAGAAGACACTATCTGCCCAAGGCCTTCTGCTCAGTCCACAACAGATACAGCAGAGCTAGGATCCCAGTAAAGCCTGGCTGCTGCCCCTTCTCCTGGCCAAGCATGTTCTCCACAGTGCCAAGGCTGGCCACAAAACCTTTCCTCACAGCGCTCTCCAATACACACCTGCACTTTCCGTGGTTCTGAAGTTAGGGGTCAGCTTGGGAGTTGCCCAGGTCACAGTGAAGTGGGATGGCAACAGTAGCTTCAGCCTGAGTCAGCCGTGGGGGCTCACTGCCCAGTGACAGCCATTTCCAATGCTACTCTTCAGCCACGCCACCTGTCCACCCCAGGAGCTCATGCGCCCCGAGCCTGTCTCCGACTCCTTTCTCCTCAGCACTGACCTGGCCCTGTCCTGCCACCCTGGCCCATCTACCACTTGGGCAATAGTAGGCAGCCCTGAGCAGTGGTTTCCAAAAGGTCCCATTTCTTTCTTCAGGACTGGCATTTTCTGTGCCCTTGGGTGCAGCATGGTCCTGAGGTTGGCTCTGGCAAATAGGAGAGATGTGACTGGAAGGAACAAGTGTCCCTCCTGGGCAGGAAATCCCATGAGCCTGTGACCCAGAGACTGAGGTGAACAGAGCTCTGACACGGACATAGCAGGAGCCTCAGTAAATGCTCATCTGGACGCAACACCGGCCAATGTGCTGAGGGCCACCTTTCCATGGTGCCACCACTCACCTCGTGATGGCGGGGGTCCTCCACACTTCTGGCGTGGAGCCGCCCTGCTGGAAACCTGCTGTCCTCAGTGATTAAAGGTGCCACCTCTTGGTCTTAATTCCAATTCTGCAAAATGGGCTCAGTAAGAACAATGCCCTCATCCGAGGATGCCCTAATAGGCTCCTCAATAGCCTGCAAAGTCCATGGAAACACTCCTGACTGGATGCAGGGGTCGGTCCTAAAGCAGCAGCCAAGGCTTTCGTGAACCAAACACCATTCCTGGCATCTCACGCCTCAGTGAAAAGGAAGCCAGCACTTTGCAGGACCCTAATGTAAAGGGGAAACATCCTTCTGCAAATACGTTTCCTGTATTTTTTTTTCCCTAGAAACAAAGGAGCCAACATAGAGAAAACCTTTTATATGCTCAGAACTCTATAGGTTGAAATGACATGAGCCTAAGAGGGCTGTGGAAGCACCAAAGAGGCTGGGACAGGAGGCTTTGAGTTCAAGGCCAGCCTGAGTCACATACACAGTGAGATTATCTCATTAAAAACAAACAACAACAAAAAAAAAACCCCAACCAGTTGATAAGAAAGAGCCTTGCAAGGAGGAAGTTTGAATTTCAGATGGTTAAATGAGGCTCCATCTCTCTACCCCCAAAGGGGGGCCTTTAGGCTCAGCATGGGGCCACAATGCCCCCTTGTCATCTGCCCTGGGCACTGTCCAGGGTCAATCCCAGGGTGTGGTACCTATCTGCTCTGCCTTACAGAGCCAGACTGAGCCGGACCAGCTACCCATACAGTTACCAGAGAGAGGGCAGGGACTAAGGCTGCTTGGATGGTTCAGGGCCTGAGGAAGCAATGGTGCTGGCCTCCAGGCAGGTCACAGCTTCCTCCTACCCATCCCACCCACTTCAGACCCCAGGATGGTGCCAGTTGTCCCTCCCTGAAGGGGACAGGGCAGGCCTGGCTACACTGCTGATATGAATCCACAGTGCTTGAACACCCATAGGCACCCAGGAAGCTGGCTGTACCCAGCTCACCCCCTGAAGCCCTAGGCTCTCCTAGGGTAAACTCTCTTGACTAAACTATCCCACGAAGCTGAGTGCAGCTGAACCTCTCTGGCCCCAGGGAGGGGCAGGCTGCGGCCTGGGGCCCTGTGAGCAAGGGAGGGTGCATTCCTAAGGACATTCCACACCGTGGCTAAGGAAGATAGCAGTCACGCCAGGCCTCCCCCAGGGAGCTGGCATCTGTCACACATGTGTGGTGTAGGGTAGGACTGTGCTCATGTTAATGGGCCTGGTTCACAGAGGCCTGGAGAAGTTGGTTTAACTGACTTCTGATGTCCCAGGCCAGGCTTCTTCCCTTGCAGTGACCATGTCACTGGGAACAGATCGCACAGAAGGGCCCAGCATCATTAGCTTGCCTCCTTCCAGCAAACATCCATCTCTCCTAAGCTCAGGCTTGCAGGACAACATGGCCCCTGGCAGGCGGTGGCCTCCTCCAGCAGAGGGCAAAGTCCATTGCAGGGCTAGAAGGTGCCCAAAGGGAATCTGGGGCGGCGGGGAGTGGCTTTTGTTCCCAGCCTGGTACTACACCCAGAGGCCTGGCAAACAACCTGCCTGCGACCCCAGAGAGCAGGGCTGGGGGCTATAGATACCTGTCCTGCCAAATAGCGCTGACAGGCCTACTGGACACATCCTGAAGCTGGCCCATCCCCACACAGTTCTGTGAATGCCAGCCACTCTCTGGAGGGGACCTGGGCCGCCAGCCATACATAGCATAGCCACAGGGCTCCACGCTCAGTGACCTGCCTTTGTTAATCATTTCCACTCCTTCACAGCCAGCTCCCCTGTTACTTTCCCTCCCACCTGTCCAGTTTTGCTTCTCAATGCCCCTCTGTGCAGGGGCCACTTCTGGGTCTTGTCAGGCACCCTCTTTCCTCAGGAGGGGGGGTTGGGCGGGTGAGGGCGTTCCTTAGGCTTGGCTCCAGCTATCCTTGGGCCACCAGGGCTAACCAAACACAAGGCACTGTCTCAGGAAGGGGCTGAGGGCAGATTTTTAATGTCTTTAAACCTTTTTTAAAAATATTTACTTGTCTTGGGTGTATGAGTGTTTGCATGTATGAATATGTATGCACGTATGCCTGCATGCGTATACGGACAGCACAGGCACTCTTAGTGCCTGCAGAGGTCTCAAGAGGGGCTCAGATCCTCTGGAACTAAAGTTAAAGAGGGTTGTAAGCCACCATGTTGGTGCTAGGACCCCAAACCAAACCCAGGTCCTCTGCAAGAACAAGTGCTCTTAACTGCTGGCCCGTCTCTCCAGGCCCAGATCTTTTATTTATTACTTTATTTTATTATTAGTATTCTTTGAGATAAAGTCTCACTGTGTATCCCTGGCTGGCCAGGAACTCTATACATAGACCAGGCTGACCTCAAACTCCAGAGATCTGCTGTCTTTCCCTCCTGGATGCTGGATTAAAGGTGTGCCATCAAGCCTGGCAGGACTTGGGTTTTGGACTGCCAGACTGCTTTCTCTCCTCAGGTTTGGGCTTCCCCTTGGTGACAATCTTCCTCTAGAATCTGGAAGCATCCTTTTCACTTCTTGCTGCCGTTACGGCCTCTTGGTACTCTTTGGACTTCTCTTCTTCAGATGGTGACCTGAACTTCTCCTGACCCTATACCAGCCCCGTAGAAGGTTTGGGCCCCACACTCACTCACTGAGCCCGGCACCAGGTAGACTTTCAAACCAGCTGTGTCTATTTTTTTATGCTTGTGTCTGCACGTGGTTTAATATTATTTCTTGGATAATTTCCTTTCCTCTCCTCATCCCTACTGGGAGACAACTCTGGGATCCACATCAGAAAACTGCTATACCACTGAGCTATATCCTCAGCCCCTTACCTTGTTATGATGTTTTGCTGAGATGGGGTCTTGCTAGATTGCCCAGCTTAACTTTGAACTCACCCTGCAGCCAGGCAGCCTTTGAATTTGTGCTCCTCCTGGGGCTCTGGGCCTGACTATTTAATTCCTTGTACTATGTTTCCTTTCCAGACATGCACTAATGAAGACCTAAGCCTCTGAAATTTCTCTAGTTTCTTACTTTCCCCCTTTACTTTTCTTACATCTTTGTCTCCCTTGGAGCTGCCTCCACTCAACCTTCTTCCAATGCTGCCATCGGCCTTTTGTCATTTCTGTGCCCCCACAAAGGGCTCCCTGGCACCCTCACTGCTCTTCATTGCCAGTGTTGTGTTGTCTCACAGATGCAACATCATCTATTAGACAGTAAGAATCTCTCTCACACACACACACACGTGTGAGACACGTGTCTCCTGGGCAGCTGCCGGCCACTCAGCCTCCTCCTCTGTCTTCCCTCAGCCTCCATCTCTCAGACATGAAACTTTCAAAAGCTGCTTTAGCTTCTGCTGCTGCTGGCAAGGCCTGTGGGGTCCAGGAGCACAGGCTCGCCCGCTCCAGCCCATGTCTCCGTGGGGAAGCCTTTCCTCCAGACTGGCTGACTTCTGGCACTTGCTTGGTTCACCACACCCCTGGCAGCACAGGGGCCTCAGATTCTCTTAGTGGCCTGCAGGGCACTACCAGCCATGCCATCTACCAGGGGCACTTCAGAGAGTCGGTGTGAGGCCGCACAGACTCCACCTGGGCGGTGGTGTGTCTTCTCCCTGTCTCAGGCACCCCAGGCTCTCTGGGCAGGGAGCATGGAAGCACCACCAAAGACGCCACGTAGAGGACCTTTAATTGGGTGCCTGGCCACTGTCTCCCTAAGTCTGGGCCTTTGGAATGCAGGGATGATTAATTTCTCTTGTTTCCACAAACACCAGGGCTCAGGTCTCAAAATGGCACTGGCACCTTCTCTGTCCTGGCCCCACCTCACATCTCACTGAAGAAGCTCTGGTACTCTGTGAGAACCAATTTGCCCAGGGGTTCTCATTAAAATGAGCAGAAAGTGAGCCAGAGCCACTCAGCAGGTCCATATGTAACAGTGGGGGCGACTCCTAGCAGTTTCTGCTCAGAGTGGGCTGGAAATGGCCTCCTGTGGTTGAGGCCTTAGCCTGCATTCTCTTTACCACTAAACAAACCTCAGTGGGAACAAACCCTGGAGCACAGGAGTAGCAGAGTCATGGAGCAGGGTCCCATGCAGAGTCGGTGAGATCTCAGAGGACCACTGAGGTGTGGTCCTCGGCTCCCTCACCCCTTCAGGCAGATCAGCTTCCTACAAATCTTGCAGGTATCCATGTTGTGCTGCCTTCTAGCTCCCTAAGCCTGATTTCTTCCTAGTCTGAGCCTGTTAGAGCTGGTCACAGGAACCCAAAGCACTTGAGCCTGAGTTTCTGCCCTGATGGAGGCCTCCATCACCAGCTGAGGCGGGGCCGTCTCTACCTGGCAGGGATTGGCCTCAGCCAACCCACGGTGGTGGCCTTTTGCTTAGGTGATCCTGCCTGCCTGAGCTGGACATGGAGTCACATACAAAATTTGCTTGTAACCCAAGCAGCTAGTTCCAAGTGTGTGTGGGTGTGGTGGGGCAGAATCCTGAGCTCCCAGGAACTCAGCTGAGAGCTGTTCTGCCCACCTGGAGATAATTTGTAACATCTCAAGACACTGCTGGTCATACCAATTGGCATTCTGTGGCCGAGGCTAGGCTCCTCAGAGCACAAAGCAGCCTGTACCAGCCGACTGGAACAAATGCTCCTGGAACAGCGGTCTTAGGTAGTCACCCTTCCCCCACCTGGCGCATCCAGTCTTAGCCCAGGAAACCCCCTACCACTCTCCACTCCCCTTTCACATAAGCCCAAGCAGCATCCCTAAAGGCGCATGGATTAGGGAGGCAGAGTCCTGACCTGATGGGAACCTGGGGCCAGGCCATCCCAGTTTGCCAGCTGAAAAACAGGCCCACAGAAGGTACCCCCTTGCCGGCTCTCTCAGCACCCTGTGCCCCAACTTCTGGCCCCAGAGTGAGTGTCTTCCCTTGCTGGAAGTAAGAAGCAACTGGGACAGAGGGAATGTGACCTGCCTGGGTCAAGCCCCCGCCAGCCAGAACACAAGGGGAGGAGCCAAGCTCCGCGGCCCCATCTTGACCTAGATGGTTGTTCTCAAACCAGGAACTGGATGTTGATGACTGGATTCTGGACTCATGGTGCTACAGAGGGACAGTCACCTGAACATTATGTCACATAGTGACAGTCAACGCCAGGACCGACCTGGAAACCAAAACCAAAACCTCCAGGCCAAGAGGCCAAACGGAAATGTGACCATCCCTTTCCCTGCAGCAGACCTGTGTCTGTCTTCCACAAACAAGCGTGGGAATCCCAACCAGCCGCTCAACAGAAAAGAGCACCAGCTGCTCTCCCAGGTTGGGTTCAAGTCCCAGCACCCACATGTGGCTCATAACTGTAACTCTGACCCCAGGGGAATCCAATGGTCTTCTCTGACTTCCAGGCACAAGGCACACCTGTGGTGCCCATACGTACAGACAGACAAAACATTTAAACCCGTAAAATAAATAACTCTAAAGGGGGGATGTCTGGCTTCAGATGCTTGAAGAGGCCGGTAGCAGGGAACATCTGCCTAGCTCTCTCCATCTTGTTCTCAGGGTGACTGAACCCTTATTATTATTTTCAAGGAAGCCCAGAGCCCTTCCCTCCACTAGGTAGTGCTGTGACCTCATGGGCAGAGGGTTCCCTCTGGACCATGTGCATCCTGAGAGCATGGGCAGACGGTGTTGGTCCCCAGAAGAGAACACAGCAGCACAGACCGAATACGCCGGGCAGCTTGGCTGAATTCACACATGGCAACTTTCAAGCCAGTGTCCACACACACACACCTGGGCAGGAAGCCACGGGTATCTGGGCATGCCAGGATAATGTCACGAACTGACCCACACACGGTACCTGCAGCTGGTCACCAACACACCCAAGCCGTCCACTGTAGAGGCTATCAGCGCCTGTCTGGCCTCCAGGTATGATGTGGAGGCCACCAGCCCTTCATCAACTCAGATCCCTGCCCCGGGGCCAGCCTGTGCCCAGGTACGTCTTTCGAGCTCAACCTCAAAATACATCCCCGCTCCTGATTTACAGATATGGGGTCCAAGGCAGGGGTGGGGCCAGGTGCCCACTGTCCAGCCTGTAAGTGGCACCCGCTGCTTTCCGGAGCAGTCCCCTCCCACTGGAAGGCACTGTGGAGCTCGGCTGGAGGGCTACCCACCAAGGCTAGCAAAGCGGGGAAAGGGCACGAGGGGGGTCAAGTCCCTCACTCTTGGAGCGCATCTAAACAGACCGTCTTTCCAGCTCCCGGAAGAGTCACTTCCACGCCCCCAGGACTTCCCAGGAGTCTCTGCGTCCCATGGTCTAACCCCGTCGGCTGCAAAGTGTCCCTCGAACTGCGGCTCAGGGCAGCTAAGCTCCGAGTCCCCGGCCTGAAGCTCCAGCGCGAGGGCGGGGCGCGACCCATGGTCGCCGGGGTCGGAAGGGGCGGAGACGCTCCGAGCGCCTCAGGGGGCGGCCCCAGACTCACCTGTGCGCGCCGAGGGGCGGCCGGGCCGGCGCAGCCTGCAGCGCCGCTGGCTCTCCGCGCCCCGCGTCCGGCCGGTTCCGCCCTCTCCACTTCCTGCGCGGCGGGCGGGCGAGCGGGCGGGCGGGGCCCGGGCCAGGTGGGCTCCGCCGGTGGCTGCGCAGCCGGAGGGCGGGGCGAGCCCTGGGCACCTGCTGCCCCGCGGCCGCCTGGCCTGGCCGCGCCGCGCCACCTGTGCCCGCCTGCGTTCACGTGACCCGCCTGGTAACTCGGCCAGAGTCCGCCCTCGGGTACCGTCTACCCTCCCTCCCTCCCGCTGCTACGCCCGCTTCCTTCCTGCGCCTCTCCCGGCTCCGCCGCCTCCTCCACGAAGCCTTCTGAGAGAGCCCGGGCCTGCGGGAACCTGTTTGCCGCTGGAAGGCCCCACCCTCGGCGTTCCTTGCACCTGGCTGCTTCAGGGCAGCCTTGGCCAGGCTCTCCTAGAGCAACCTTCCGGGCGTAGCCTATCCACCACCATCCCACTTTACAGAGAGCCCTGAGGGCTGGCCGGCCTTGATTCTGCCGAGCTCAGGAAAACAGCTACCAAGTCCATGTAGTGTCCTCAAGGATGAGGTTGTAACAGCGCCCCCGATGGGGGCTTTAGGGGTCAGGCCCTCGTGTGGGAAAGGACGAAGTGCCACCAAACCCGAGCCCCCAAGGGTGAGCAGTTAACAGATAGAAGGGGAGAGAGGGGTAGAGCAGTCGAGAGCCACAGTGAGCGCAAGGGCAGAGAAGGGGGGGGGACATGGCCGGGGGGGGGGGGGGGGGGGAGCAGACCAGGGTGGGCTGAGGGCAGGGCCGGGGAGTGTCCAGTCCCATCCAACGGCAGGAGCCTCCTAGAGGCAGGGTGGTCAGGACTGTCCCCGCCCTGCCATCCTGATGTGCTCAGCCTAGACTCAACCTCCCCAAGCTGCCCCAGGTTCCTGAGAGCTGGAGTTACCTACCGGCAGGCACCACTGTGTCTGGCATTTTAGTTTTTCTTGATGCGACATTGTGTTCAGATGGTTTGACAGCCCCAAGACACCTCAAAACCTGGTCATCAGAGCAGACCCGCACCCACGCTAGGACGACATGAGCAATGATGAGCTCTTCCCCGTGGGGACCGTGTAAGAGCCGTCTCTCACTGTGCTCTTTGCCTGACGCACCGTGCAGAGCCCAGGGCGCGTGTGAGGGGGACACAGTGAATGTCTGGTGACCTGCGTGTAACCCGGGCTCCTGGGTCACAGCCAGTTCTAGTCCTCTTCCTGATCCACCCCGCTCATCTGTTTTTCAGGAAAGACCTGGGACCTCACGCCGTGGTGCCCACACACACTCTCCACACAGTGGCCTGGGCAGTGTAGCCCAAGAGCTTGCATCCCATTTCTGAGAGAGGTGATGTTGGAGACTCTGGGTTGGTGCTTTCTTGGCAACGACAGTGTGAGGGGTGTGCCCAGCTGGCATGCCCGCCTAGCCACTGCCTGGGGGCTACCTCTGACCTCAGCCCTGAAGCTGGTGGTTTGGTTGTGCCATCCTCGGCTCTTTCCGGTGTGATATCATCTGGGCAGGGCACTAGCTGGCCACAGGGCCAGGCCCAAATGGGTGTCAGTCACTGGAGGAAGAAGAGGAGCTCAAAGTGACCTGTGGCCTGAAGCCTGGGTCCTGAACTCCCTGGGTCCCTGCAGATGTGCTGCTCGGCGGCTCCTGGGAAAGGCTGGTCCTTGCTGACCTCTTAAGGCCATTGTGGGGTATTGCACCCACCCAACTCCACCTCCCTGAAGCTGCTTGGTGTGTCACAGAACAAATTGGTGGAAAAACTGAGGCCAAGTGGGACACTGATGTCCAATGGAAGGCCAAGGCCGGGCAGCAAGATCTGGCATGTCAGCTAGGCACTGTCTCATCACACCCTCCTTTGGTACCTGACTCTTAAAGAATTAGAAGACAGGGGGAAAAAAATCTCGAGCACAAAACAGTTTTAACAGCAGGGAAAAACTCTGCAGGTGGAATCGATAGATGAAAAATGCCTTTTTTTGTGACAGGGTGTCACTGTGTAGCCCAGGCTGGCCTGGAATCATTGTGCAGACCATGCTGGCTCAAATTCATGGTGGTCTGGCTGCTTCAGCTTCCCAAGAGCTGGGGTTAAAGGTGTACAGCGCAAATGCACATAGCAAGGCACAGTAGAGAAAGACCCCCACTGCTGCGAAGCAGAGGGGCCTCAGAGACTGAAGCCTACTCTCCTCCTGGAGGATGGCGTTGTTTCAAGGGTATTTGTCAGGTTGGAACGGGACACCTTTCTCTATTTAGGGAAAGCCTGGCAGGCTTTTGTATCAAGTGGCCAGGCCTCTGTCTCAGGTCAAGAAAACCAGAGGCCTGAAATTATCTATCTCTATGCCTATCCCTGCCTGTCTGTCTGTCAGATAAATGTCCTATCATTTCCCTCTAAGAGCTGTAATTGGCAGAGGGCGGCGGGCTTGTTCACCTACCTTTACCTTCATGAAGGGTACCTGGTCAAAGCCTGCACAGAGCTCATCTGGAAGGCGAGACGGGATCGGACCACCTAATATGGCTTGTTCTGAGGGCCTCTGTGCCCTCAGGTTGGGCAGAAGAGGTGGATTCCAGCTTTCCAGCCTTCATAGCGTTGGTTCAGTGCCCACCAGTCCGTAGTCACCACCCTGGCTGGGCAGCCTGTAGGCTGGGCCGGGCACAGAATCTGCATAGATGAGGGACACTTCATTCTAGCTATCCGAAGTAAAGAAGCCTGCTGTCTATGGGAGACAGGGCAGAGGTCAGAGCAGCCCCACCCGGGGACAGCGGAGCTCTCCTGGAAGGCTGTGCTCCTCTCCCTCACATGAAGGGGTAAATCGGCCCTTTGAGGGCCAGTCAAGAGCTTGCCAGCGCTGTCCTCAGCACTTGTGAAAGGCTGGCCAAAGGCAGAATTCTAGCAACGTGTGAGGTTTCCAGGTGAAACAGTGCTGCATGAAGGAAGGAGGCTGGGCCCAAGAGGAAGGGGAAACTGGTCATCAGAGGCAGACCCGAAAGCAATACAAGAGATGGAAGAGTGGGTGACGCTTCTGAGGCAGCTAGCATGAACACACAAGTAGCGTGACTAAACCCAGGTGTGTGGGCATGCAGGCGTGTGTGAGCCCGGGACCCTGTGCGTGGTAACAGCACTGCGGCTGAGCTGTCCCCAGCTCTGCTCAGGCTTCTAGGGAAACCAAAAGTGTAGCGAAAAGGCCAAAGAGAGACAGTGTTGGGCTGTCTCACAGGCTGTGTGAATGGAGGCTCAGGAAGGGGTGGGCAAGAGGAAAGATGCTGACAGGGTGACAGTACCAGTTTGGTGCCTTGTCCAGGCATCATCAGAGAGGCTTCCTCCAGCAGCAGATGGGATGCAGAGACCCACAGCCGGACATGAAGAGAGATTGGAGGTCTCCATAGGGTCCCTCCCCTCTGAGCTCAGGGAATCCTGTGAAAGAGGGGGAGAACGAGTGTCGGGGTCAAGAGGGAGGGAGAATGCAGCCCACTGACCCAAGCAGGAGTTATGTGTGCTCTCAGAGCCCGCAGGGGTCTGCACCAGGCCCTCTGCATGCGTGGTGACTGTTGGCTTGGGGTTTCAGTGGGGCTCCTAACTGTGGAGCAGGTGTGTCTCTGACTCTCTTCCTCCTGTGGATGGCCTTGTCCAGCGTCAGTGTGAGGGCTTTGCCTTGTCTTACTGTATTTTGTTTTGTCAAGTTTTGTAGTGCAAGGTTTGATTTCTTTAAACACTCAGTTGTGTTATATGTGTTTGTTTTAATACCAAGTGTGGGATTTTAGTTTGGGCTTTACTTTTAGTTTGGGCTGATAATTGTCTCTTGTGTGTCGTGGTCTTTGCCAGTTGGTAACTCCTGCCTTGTGCACCACAGAGAAGGGTGTGGTCTAGAACTCTGAGGGATAGAAATAGGAGAGCCCAGCCAGAGAAGGTGTGGCAGTTTGGAGAGACCCTGGAGATATGCTTCATGGCACAGCAGCGTGGAGGAGAAAAACAGAGAGACGGCTTGCTGCCTTTGCTTTTGATGGAGACTGGCACAGCCCCCAAAGAACCCGCCAACGCCAAACAGCCCGGAGAGGTACAGGGGTCTGTGGCCCCTCTCCCCACTAACCTCCTCTCTCCTGGGGTTGGGGGTTGGAAGGGAGAGGCTTTAAGGAACCCAAATAAAATAGAGTTTAAAAACTCGTGCGGCAATGTTTGGTTGTTGTCTCTTAGAAGCCTGTTCTTTCCTGATGGGAAACAGCAGGGGAGTGGATCAGGGGAGAAGGGAGATGGGAGAGGAGCTGAGAGAACTGGAGGGAGGGAAAACCAGTCAGGATGTAGTATATGAAAGAAGAATATATTTTCAATAAAAAAGAGAAAGTTCAAAATATGGGGCCTGGAGAGATGACTCAGCAGTTAAGATCACTTGCTGCTCTCCCAGAGAACCCGAGTTCGGTTCCTAGCACCCGTGTTGGGTGGCCTGCAACTGCCTGTAACGTCAGCTCCCAGATGCCTTCTCTGGTTTCTGAGGGCACCTGCACAGGTGCAGCATATACCCACATGATACACACAAATAAAAATCTTCTGAAACACTTCACATTGCAGTTGTCCTAGCTACTTTCCTCATTGCTGGAGAGGATGCCCAACAAAAGCAACTGGAGGAATGGGGGGCTCATTTTGGCTCACGGTTTGAAGGGACAGTTTGTCATTGTGGAGAAATCATGGCCTAGGAGTGTGAGTCAGGACCACATTACAGCCACAGTCAGAAAGCAGAGAGCAATTACTGCTGGTCCTTAGTTCACTTACTCCTTTGTTTTGTTTGGGATCCCAGCCAACAGGATGGTGTCTCCTACATCCAGAGTGGTCTTCCAACTCAGTCAACCCAGTCTAGAAACATCCTCACAGACATGCTCAGGCGCCCGCCTCCTGAGTGATTCCAGTCTTCCAAGTTGATGATAATATTCATCATAACGGTAAGGGCCACAGATCCTCCAATCAGAGAGCCTCAGGACAGCAGATGCTCCAGGCAAAGCATGCTGGGTAGATGAATGGATGGTGCAGGGAGTCTTTAGGGCTAGAGAAAAAGTAACCACCAATTAGATGTCAGAATCTGCACAGCAAGGGCAGGACAAACACCTCTCATGAGCAAAAGAAACAGTACTGTCAGCCAAGACATCTGTTCCCAGTGAAGATGTC